CATTATAATCCAATAAAGAATATATATTTATATTAAATATCATTTATGATATTATAGATTTTTTATTGCAATTATCTAGTTATTCAATAAAAATAAATCTAATGTATATGAATTTTGATTGAAATTAAGTTATTAAGATTATTTAATTTATAAACTCTATCCATTTAGGCTTCTTGAGTTTTAGTTCATAAGAGTTATTATTCCAAGTTATTCGATATTATTCATCTTCACATGAAGTTCTAAATGTCTCTCCTTAATCAAAAATTTATTGCTTATATAAGTGTGCACTTCAAATCTTAATTTGATGAAGTATTTTTATGAATTTTCCAAAACTCTTATATATTACCTATATTTAAAAAAAGGAGTTATTTTTATTGTTGAAAGGTTAATCCTAATTAAAGTAGAAAATATCATTTGCAATAAATTAATACTAAATACTTTCCATTATTATTATATTTTCATCTCACTAAGCATTTCTGTTGGTCATTTGATCCAGTTATGATTAAATCTTCTAAAAAAGAGTTCAGCAATAAACAATTAGGTAATATTTTCTGATATTTTCATGATAATTATGTATCAAAAGATAATATTACTCATATAAGAAGCAGTAGTAAAAATTATTATTATTTGAAGAATAAATAGTTAATTTTCAATAGCGAATTTTAAACTTTTTTATGCAACATATATATCTTTATAGGATTCAGTCTATTATTGCTATTTTATTTAACTTTTTATTCACAAACTCTCTTACATCAATTATTTAGAAATTTTGAATAATTGTTTGATTTCTCTTTTTCCAAATACATAGATTAGTAGTTTAATTATCAAGCTAAATTTTAACAATTAGCAATAAAAATCAAAGAAAAATTAAATTATTTTTAGCCATTAAAATGGTAATGATTGAAGAGATTAAAAAGTAAATATATGAATCAGGAAAGTAGACTTTAGAGAAAAAATTACAAATCAAATATATTGAATAATAAGATATCATAATTTAATTTTCATATAGATTCCATATATTTATTAGAAATTTATTAATTGGGATTGGGTATTATATTAGTTTAAATTTGGAATCTTGAATTTGGCATTCTAGCCAAAAATTTCAGCCAAAGTTTTACTCTATTATAAAAGGTGCTTAAAATCATTATTCAGCTGGACGGAAGGCTCTCAATAAAAAAATACAAAACCATATACAATATCTAAATAAAATCTTTTTCTATTTCACATGTAGGTTTAATAGACAATAATTCTCATTAAATAACTTTATTTAATATTTACACCTTATATTCTTAAACTATTTGATCAAGTAAGCTAATGGATTATTAATAAATATCATGACTATTCAAATATATTTACTTTATTCAATTGAAAGAGTTATAAATTTTCATATAATTATTATTTATCTTCAGCAAGTAATTCATCAATCTATTAATAATTTTTATCATTTTAACAACAGCAATATTATTAGATGCCTCTTCGTCTATATAACTCCCATTCAGAGTTTGTCAATATGAACCAATCTTTTTGATTATTGAATCAAGTTTTACTGCTACTTGATTACAAGTATAAATATCTTTTCAGTATGCTCAGATAATTCATAGAAATTCATTCTAATCATGTTTATAAGATTGAATAATTCTGAAATAACAAATTATAATTTTTTGATTTATCAAAATCTTTTACATTTGTCTCTATCTGTTTATTTTCTTCTATAATATAATAATTTTATATTATTTTATTTTAATGAAAATTAGGACCGATATTGTGTAATGAATAAGGTATTGCATATATTGATAATTAAAATTGATCCAATTCCTTGTTATATTTTATTTGATATACAACTAACATAATGAGATATAAATTATTTTATTCTAAAATTGATTTCGAATGAATAATTGAATGTCGAAGATATTTATTAAAATGTTCTATTGTTGTAATCTAAAATCAAATTTGTTTACAATATGGTAATCAAAATTTCTTTACATAACAATCACCTAAAAGGTTTTAACCAATCTCATAATTTTTGATTAATCAGTAACTATTGATAATTGTTAATCATTAATTCAATAAACTTATTATCTATATTTTTTTATCAAATAGATATTTAATATTTTTAATTTTTTGTTGGATTTTAGTTTTATTCCTTCACTTACTCTTAAGTTCTTTTGATTGTTTTATTCACTCTAACCACATTTCAATAAGCTTGAGTTGTCTATCTACTTTATAATAAATTGATACTCTAAATTCTCTTAAGTAATACCTATTCCTTTTTCAGTATCAATATAAGATTCGAATATATAATTATTGGGATTAAATGTATTTATGAAAGTTATTATCCATCTTTTGCCTGGGATCATTGGAACAAAGACAATATATAAAAACCTTTGATTAAATATAACAGAAAGAGAAGTTTCAGAAACAGCAAATACTTAATAATTATCTCATCTATTTATTCCGATGAAGATTGCTCTGACAATATCATATTTATTCTTCATTTTCAATTATAATCGAGATTAATAAAATTATCTAGTAAACTCTCTATTAAAAAAGAGTGTTAATTTATATGTCTTAGATATTTTTGGTCAAACATTACAAACTGATTAAAATAATGGAACTAAATTGCAAAAATTTCAAATTTAAAAATTAACTTATTTTTTTTATCATATATATAATCGATTCTTTAATTCTTCATTTATATAATATCTCATATGATGAGTATTTTTCAAATTTGTTATCCCAAAATACTAAATATTATCCATTATTGGTCATTGTTCCATATGTTTCTCTAGTTTAACAATTTAATGATTCAAGAATGTTAAATGTGCCATCATTTAATTATCTAATCAAATATATATGATATTTGTGTCTTATCAATATCACATTTTTATCTCTATTATGTATAATTGGAAATAATATATCATCATCACATTGATCATTGTTAATTAAAGTGATAGTTTTATTTGAATTCTATTTAAAGACTCCATTCTATAATTCAAATACTAAAATATCATTTATTTACTTATCTGATGTAACCCAAATAAATTATTAATCATTAATGAAATGTATTTTACGTCCTCTTTAAATACTTTATTTATATTTGAATTCCCATTTTCCTTATAATCCTTTCTCCCATATTATAAATTCTCCATAACCACATGATGCCAATACAGTTTCAGATTAATTAAAACTGAGTGATTCAACACTTGTATAATGTTAATCTAAGGTATATAGATAATTCAGATGATTCTTCATAAAATCTACTTACCATACTATTATTTTATGATCACACCCTCCTGAAATAAGTTGATCCTCCTATTTATTTAACATTAAACAATTAACACTACCACTATGTTATTCAAATTGTTATGAGCATTTCCACTCATTTTAATTAATTTATTACCAACAGATAATTTTATGATAACCACAACCAGAAATAAAGTTATTTGTCTTTTTGCTATACACCAAAGATCTAATAGGATTAGTATGTCCATTATAAGATTTAGATAATTTAAATGTTCCTTATTCAAAATTCCAAATTTTAATTATATTAGAATCAGCTGTAATCATAATTGATCCATCTTTATTGAAAACTACTGCGTAACATTACAATCTCTATTAATTTGAATCATCAATTAATTAAAATTGAACTTATTTATTCATCATCAATTATTATTCCAATTAATTCTATTCATTCTCAACTTATATCACTTCCTTTTATGTCTAAATAATAACTTAATACTGTTTACTTCATTCAAAAGATTATTAGATTATTTGATTTACTAATTTTCAGAATCAATCTCTTCTTTAAAAATATTTTTTTTTTGATCAGATTCTTCCTCTTCATCAATTATATTCTATTCGAAGTTAGTTTAAGTTAATTTTTTCTCTTAAAGTTCAATTCTATTTTTGATAATCTTATTAAACAAAGGTTTCAAACTCTCATGAATTTGTTATAAGTAATCAAATTCTGAGATAGAAAATTTGGGAAATTAAGGCAATTCAAGTTTAGATTCAATTGTTTGAGTTACTTATTTATAGGGAATAAGATGAATTGAGTCAATTAATTCATCAATCTCATCGAAAGAAGACTAGAAAATAATAGAAAATGATAATTACTTCTATTTGAGACCTTAATTCTAAGAAGCTTTCTTCAATTTTAGACATTGTGTATTGGATGATTTATGATGAAGATGATTGCATTTATTTATTTATATGATATTTTATTTATGTTTTTAATAATTGGAAATATTTAAATTTATACTACCCTAATTGATTTAAAGAAATAATGAGATGGTTGTTGTGTTTAATTTCATACCTATAAAACTAAATGCTAAACATGATTGCATGGATATAATGATATTTATAGAAACTAGTATGGATAAAGAAAAATAAATCAAAGCCTAAAATAATCTATATTAATTATATTATTTTAGTTTTCATAGAAGTATGAGATATCACCATAAACATTGAAGATTCTAAATTGCTATAGATAAAGATACTTTCTTAGTATTGATTGAGAGGAATGTAATATTCAAGTTAGAATAATGTACAGTGTTTTCCATTTTAGACTAAATTATAATAATAAAATAATAACAGCAAGCTCAGATAATTAATTTTATTCCTTTAATAAGGATTATTTATAAAGTCATCGTTTTTTTTTCCAGTTCAGAACTTCTATTATAGCATGATAAATCTTAGAAAAATCATTATAATATTTATTGACAATTAAAAAATAATAAGATTATTAAGCCAAATCTTATATTATTTGAAATATGGTACTTTATTTTAATCAAATGTGACTTTATTAATTATTAAATAAGTTAGTATTGTAGTTTGATACAAAAATTTCCATATCACTTCTGCATCAAATTAATATTTAATATAGAATTAATGCAGTGGTTAAGGATATCAGTGATGAAGAGATGACATATATCATCGTATATTGATAATTTTGTAAATTGCAGTAATTTAAAGTCAATAGATAATTAATAAATTGATTGCATCTCTTTATGAAAAAATATCAAAACTCAATTTGAGATTAAAAGGGACTTAGAATATAATTAGTGATAATCCCAAGATAGTTAGAAGTTCTTATAAAGCTTGCAAGATAAATCTAGAAAAAAGTATTAAACTAATAAATTTAAGCTTGAAGATGTTAAAAAAACTTAAAAAGCCTGAAGAAGTAAAAGATTATAAAATGAAATACATTATTGAAATTAAATTAGAAGATTATTTATTTGATATTTATAATATGTCTTATATTACAACCAAAAATGGTTTTAAGATCTGAATTTACTAATCATAATTACAAAAAATTAGTAACAGATAATCTTGAAAATATATGTTGGACTTTCATCAGATTTATTTAATGATAATTTTTATTAGAGGGAGAATTTAATTGTGCTTCTCATATATTTAAAATCAATAAATAAAACTGAATTAAATTGAATAATTATCTTACTTTCGCTCATACAATTTATGGATATTGTGGCAAGGGATGACAATTTTAGACATTTATAAAGAAAGGAAAGTTCGGGCAATATTGAATAAATATTGGATTAATACTAAATTCAGTCCCATTCAGATGAAAAGCAGTTCATATGATATTTTAATTGAATCCTTTATAATTAGAGGAATTATTTTATTAAAGTCATCTCCACCTAAAAGAAATTTTTGAATAAGGCAACTTTATTCAAATGATTGGTATTTACACTTAAAATGTATAACATCATAAAGTTCATTTGTATATAAACAATAAATTTTTCATCTTATATATCAAACGCATCGTATTCTGAATTAAATGAATGAAAAAAGTTAAAGCATATGGTTGGTATGAGTATTATTGGTGCAAACTATATTCAATCGAAAGTCTAAATTACATATAGGCTAGCTATTCATTATTGCTGCTATATAAGTATTAGTCTCAGCAAAATTAAACCTATAAAGGTTTTACTTTCAACTTTGCATGCACACTGAGATTCTTTGGTAGGATAATTTTATAGCAAAAAAAATTACTCTTTATATCCAACCAATTAAACCATCTAATTAGAATAAGCCTTGTAAATTATTCTTACTCAATCTAATTAATTACATCAAACCATTATGTTTGATGGTTTGAGTGGATTTGTCATATCCATTAGGACTGAATTATATTCTAAAATATTAAAGAGAATTAATATAATTTAATTATGTTCATTGATTATTTATAAGCTACCATCAAATTCCTAACTTTTTCATAACCTGAATTAAAAAGATTTCTACCAAATTTTAGATAATATATTAATTAAAGAGAAAATATAGTTTTATATCTAGGAGAATATGGTCATTATCTTTTTTTTAATTATTGCTTGATAAGCTTAATGTTAATATGGAAATATATTCTCTGCTTTATATTGTTTTTGACCATTAAACATTTACTATTTAATCTGCAGGTCTTTAATTAAAGTAGTGTTTAAGAGCTATATCTTAACTGAAATTAAAGAAGAATTTCATCAAAAACATTATTTGAAATTTTGTCTTTACATAACAGCAATAATTCTCTAAGCAGTATGTTTAACGATCCTATTCTTATAATTTTATTTATGTATTCAATTTAAAAGTCTTAAATAAGCTTATGCACTCTAGTCAGTACTTTATTAGTTACGAAGTTAAAGCCATCTTCCCATATATTCATAATTAGAAGATTAAATTAAAATTTTTTGGTATCCTTTCCCATTTAACCTGAAATAAGAGTAATCATTTAAGTCAGATACCTATTTTCTCAATAATAACATATACTCATTATCTCTGTGATTATGAATTTTTTAATATATCCAATTTTATATGACTATAATAGTATTGTTTTTCATAGACATTAGCTCTATTTATTTATCTCTAATTCCTTGGGGAAGTAATTTTTTAGACCTATCATCCTATTAAAATGAGCTTCACTCTAATTTTTACTAATCCTGAATGGAACTTTTCTTTTAGAATCATATTGCAAGTTTTTGTATCGAATGAATCGTAAAACATAAAGTCGAAATTCTGAACTCGTTATAACTGCCTTTAGTTTATCTGTATTATTCACTTATGTTTCCTCTACTGTTAATTCTTACACCCAAATATTTTAAAGCAATTTGGATTCAAGTTAGAATTTCTCCTATTGGCCAAGTATTTAGCTCATCTACTTGATTTTTATCATATAACTTCACTCTAGGAGCTTATTCAAGTGACTATAGATCATTATTGGTCTCATACCTCCTATTCGGGCTATATTGGATGCAACATTATTTAAAGGAATCAAACTCTGGGCCGAAAGAAAACTGATACTGTTTTTATCATTCCTCAAGATTGAACATGTCCATTTTCTTCAATTGTTCCATTACTAATCTCACTATAGTCAAATTAGTAAAATCATACGAAATAGCCTTATTCTACCATTGTAAATACTAATCCTCTCTTTTTGGTCTATACCTTACATCCTAATTAATTTCATCATCTGCATCAAAATCTCACTCTAAAGTGACTTAATTCCTCCACAGTCTCTTTTAGTATTCTTACTCATTTTGTAACATTTATATATCCTTCAACTTCTCTATATGAGGTAGTATTTTATATTAATTTGTAAGACTTCTTTTTACTTGACCTTGTTTTAAGTTCTTTATCACATTTTACAAATTATTGATGCATAACTTATTGGGAATATCTTCTTTTTTTTATTTAAGCATTTCTTTCAATAACTTTAATATTATCAAGTCCTTATATTTTTCCCTAAGCCCCATATCTTTTCATCGATAAAATTAATCTCTTGCCATATTCACATCTACTTCATTGAATCATTCCTCAATTAGTTTTTAATTGGATTGTAGTCTTACAAAGATTATTTTTTAACCATATTTAAAATCAGATTTTTTCTTGCTAAATCGAATCCTCCTATGCAAAACTAAACAGTCAATTTTTGAACCCTAATCAGAATTTTTCTATTCTATTTCTTATTTTCCTTGTAATAGAGTCTGATATGATAGAATATATGTTGAGCGTTCTGATTAGTTTCGCATTAAGATCAGCTACTACTACAATTGGTTTTTTTCTATATTATTCTAAAAGTAATTTATATTCGGATTTATATTCTGTTTAATGGATATTCCCAATCAAAATTTATTCTTTCCAAATGTGTATTCTATAACTAGCCAATTATCGTTTCTAACTCTAGTTTCTTCCTTGTTTTGATTTGACTTGAAAATTGATACACATAAACTATTTACCATTCCTTTCCTTACAATACCATAGTAATCTAAACAACTTGGTTCCCTTCTTAATCATATTTTTACCTATGTAGATGATCCATATATGAAATTTGATGTTCAAAATTTTTATCTAAACAAGTATGGATTAGATTTTTCATATTCCAACTAAAAAACAAAAATTAGTTTTAGCACAGTTTTCTGGAGTTGGTTTCCATTCCTTACCTCCTTAAATCGAGTTACTTCTCCCATTATTCTTGAGCACCCTCTATGTCAATGTCAACACTCGCCCCTTGGTCATGAAACACAAATTAAGTAAATAGGTTCAGGTAGGACAGTCTTTAGATGACTCCAATTATTAGATCATCAAGAAATTTAGTTTATTAAATTATTATCAGTTATATTTTAAATAATAAAATTAATAAGTTTAATACTCTTTATTTATTAAGGAAACTATAAATGACTTATAATTAAAAGATAGAATAGTTTATTTTCATGAAACAGGAGTTTTACTAAGTTAGCATCTGTTTGTACCCACCTATGTATTACTCTGTAAGTTAGATTGAATTATGCCATAAGTGTAACTGAAGAGTATCTTTGAATAATCACTTAGGTTGGGAATTAAAGATTAAATAAATTAGAAAGGCCTTGGAGGAAGTCTTTTGGATTACTCAGAGCCCACTAAGGCTTTAAGAATTCTAAACAACTAAAAGATGAAATATGAAAAAGTGAACTTTGTTAATTAAAGAGAATTAGAGAAGAATTAATCAAATGCAATTAACTTAAAGGATAAAGATAAGGCAATGAAAAGCAAAATTGAATAGTTATCTAAATATTATTGGATTAAAAAAAACCATATTTTATCTGAGGAAGATTATTAGAAAGTAGCAGGAGAGAATTCACTTCCTTATAATTATTTTTGAAGAATCAAGTACAGAATTATGGAACTCCAGTTACTCATTTTTCTATAATTACAGTGATTTATTCTAACTTAACCTTAAGAAAGCTGGAGAAAGAATAAAAGAAAGAGGGTATTATTCAGGTACTCTAAAGAGTATATTCTTGGAAGATAGGACTAATCTAGAAAGAGTCAACCACGAAGGATAAGATAAGCTTGCAAAAAGGTAAAGTAAATTTATTTGATGAGTGCAGTTAAACCCTGTTTGGGTTATGCTGATTTGAACATTGAAAACCAAGTGAAAGTTGTTGGTAGCGTTTCGGTAAGATTTATATAGCCCAAACCATATGGACCCAAACTTTAAGAGATTTTGATTTGATAATTACTGGGATTTTAGTAGAAAATCAATCCCTGTTAATAGAGTGAGGTGGAATTATAACCAATTTATGTTGAATTTCCAGTTGATAAAGATTTGGATGTAGTCACAATTGTGAATAATTTTCCCATAATTAGGATTTTCATAAAATCCTCTATCATTTATTTAATCAGAAGGAGAATTATAGATTTGAGTAGTTTATGATTAACTTGGTGTATTGAAATATTGTGCAAGTAGCAAATTTTTCTCAATGTCTTTGATAAGTTCTGTATTGCTAGAGCAATAAAATATAGTAATGATTTTAGAAACACCAATTCAGGAGTGAGGAGAAGAAAAATATTTTTATAGAGATATATCATAATAATTTTTCATAATTAATTTAAAATCTTCTATAAAATCCATATTCCTCCCAAAGATCCCCAAAACTTTTTTTAAAGATATTTGATTTCATGAGGTAAGTTCATCTAATCTCTAAACTTATCGTCATCTATTTTTTGAAGTTTACATGAAATACATCCTAATCCTAAATTCGATTGATCAATCTCAACCCCTTTTCCAGTAATAATAGATTGTAAAATTATTAATTAATGGTTGCTAAGTCTATTATTCTAAATTATTTAACAATCTAATCTAACTAGCTTAGATCTTCACGCCAGAAGTTTCAAACAAAGTGTTTGACATCAAATAGTTTAAGTTTTTCTAGTTAATAAGAGATGATAATCTAATTTATGAGTGCCTAAGTTTACTGTAGATTAGCTATTTGAGCCTTTAATAGATATTTTCTTTTTAAATAGAAATCTATAAAGTAAACTTACTAATCATAGACGGTATTTATGCAACCTAATATTATCAATAAGAAAAGAACGTATAAATATTATTTGCTAATAGATAAAGATGGAAATTTACAATTTATAGTATTTAATTGTTAATGTGAATATAGGATGAATACACTGTATTTGTATTAGAAATAAGGAGCTATTGGAGAAAATACATCAGAAATCTAAAAGGAAAGCGTGATGGGATCACAAAATGATAATAGTAGCAATAAATGAATTAGAAAAAATATTGATGGAAGCTTTTGATGAGATAAAGGCATCTTAAAATCCCAAAATGTCGTTTTTATCCTATAAGGATTTGGAATAAATAAATGAGGATTCTAATATTAGTGCGAGAAAGGTCTCTCCGATAATTTAATTGTTGAATTAGATTTAGTTAGAAACGTCAATAGAGGAAACTCCTGATTATTTAGCTGATTAAGATAAAAGAATGGAATCCAGCCTTAAAAGCCCTTAAATTATGTGTAATAATGAATTATTATTCTACATAATTTTAAGACATTAAGCTTCACATTAATGATATGTCTGAAACTTAAAAGAGATTAATGGAATTAAAAAAATTGATTGTAATTAAATAGAACTTAATACTTTTAAGTTTAAAAGGGTGAAAACATGATATTTTTTAAGATATTAGGTAATTGAAAGGATGGAGTGTAAAATATAGAATAATTTTGACAGATTAAATAGATATTAATATTTAAAGATGCTTTAATAATTAGATGTGCAAAAGAATTTAGTATAGACCAATCATCTATTACTATTTGACGTAAATAAAAAGTTATCTCATTAATTGAGGAGAGTAGATATCAAGAATACTTTTTAAAATAGTAATAATCATAAATTAGATCTAGACATATATTATTTAAGGAGAGTGACAAATTATTTTCTACCAATTTAAAAGGGAGGAACTAGTTTGTGCCAAGACATGCTTCCTAATTTATAATAGGCATTTAAGCATTCCAGTAAATACATTATAGAACCTAAATCTTGGGAAAAAGGTTGAGACCAATTAATTTTTGGATATATAAATAATTTTAATTTATATATTACAGCAATATATATTTTCCACTGTGGGATAATATAATATTAGTTTAAGAATTTGTTATTTTAGAAAATTTGTAATTAGGTACAAGTAAAATTCTTTTACATTGTTGATATCATTATAACTATTAAGTAGTCAATGATTTTTTTAATTGAAAATATTCAGGAAGGGTAGTATTGTTGTGGTAGATTTGAATTTCATTTTGTCAAAGAAAGACCAAATCAAAAAAACACTATGTATGAAATAAAGTATTTTTATGAACTCTCAATTTATAGTTATCTGGGCTGATCTGATTTTAATAAAGTTGTTTTTAATTTATAAATATTTAGTATCATTATATTTTTTAATTTATTTATTGAAACATATTATACTTAATACAGAAGAGAATCTTTAAGAGTAATGGTGGAAAAAGTAACTAAAGCAACAATGTGAAGATATAATCTTTCATAGCTCTACTTGATTTAAATTGATCTTAGGAAACAATCTTAAGGTTTAATTGTTTATATCCATCAAAATTGTTATTTTCCAAGAGTATGTCATTTATTAATAAAAATCCAATGGAGAATCTAAGATAATCAACTTTCTTTAATTTCCCTCAGTCTTTTTATCATTATTTATAATCAAAAACAAAACCCAGGCTTATAATCTGAGAATAATCATATTTCATGCTTTTTTTTATCTAGTGGGTATTGATAAACTTATCCAAATATCCTTATTAAATTAGATGTGATATCCTCATTTAATTGAATTCCTTGTTTATTGTTATTCTAGATTTCCCTTGGGATTTCTATAATTTCTAAATATAATATCATAAAGATTGTTCATATTGTATATTAAAAATGAATAAATTATGACGCTTTAAGTTTAAGTTTCAATTATATGTTTAAATTCAAATTGCTTTCTTAATTAATTAATAATTAATTAAAAAATGATTTAATCTAAAATGATAGAAAAAGAGGAAGAACTTCTTTGTTCTTTAAAGCATAAACTTCCTATCTAAATGGTTGCATGTGATAGTAATTTAAAGAAGAATCAAAGACTTCTATGCCCTGAATGCATGGAAAATTTAGAATCAAAAGCCCAATTAATGAGTTTTAAGAAAGTTTTAAAAAATATAGAAGATAATCAAAAATAAAAAAAAGAATCCGTTGAGAATGTGATAATAATATGCATCAAACTAATTGAAGAACTCTAAAGAAATCTATTTTAATTAAAGTCTAGTGTTGTTCAATAATTAGATTAATTAATTGGAAATGTAGATGAATGGATCAAAAATGTATAAATAATTGGATAATAAAATGTTACTTATAGTTTTTTTGATGAATTGGAAAATTTAATTAATAAATAAAAATTGAGTGAATTCAATCAGAAATCATTAATTGATCAAATTAATTAAATTAACTTATCATGGAATTAAAAAATTGAGAAGAAATTAAATTTATTTAAATCATTTTAAGAAACTAACAAATGTGAAGAAATATTAACAAAATTAGCAAACATCTATAAAAAAAAAGAGAATATTAGCAAATAAATATTAATTTAAGTAAAAGTATTAAGTTATTATTTAGACATAAAAGGAAGTGATATAAGTTGAGAATGAATAGAATTAATTGGAATAATAATTGATGATGTATAAATAAGTTCAATTTTAATTAATTGATGATTCAAATTAATAGAGATGGTATTGTTACGCAATAGTGTTCAATAAAGATGGATCAATTATGATTACAGCTGATTCTAGTAGAATTAAAATTTGGAATTTTGAATAAGGAACATTTAAATTATCTAAATCTTATAAGGAACATCCTGATAGTGCTATTAGATCTTTAGTGTATAGCAAAAAGACAAATAACTTTATTTCTGGTTGTGGTTATCATAAAATTATCTGTTGGTAATAAATTAATTAAAATGAGTGGAAATGCTCATAACAATTTGAATAACATAGTGATATTGTTTATTGTTTAATGTTAAATAAATAAGAGGATCAACTTATTTCAGGAGGGTGTGATCATAAAATAATAGTATGGTAAGTAGATTTTATGAAGAATCATCTGAATTATCTATATACCTTAGATTAACATTATACAAGTGTTGAATCACTCAGTTTTAATTAATCTGAAACTGTATTGGCATCATGTGGTTATGGAGAATTTATAATATGGGAGAAAGGATTATAAGGAAAATGGGAATTCAAATATAAATAAAGTGTTTAAAGAGGACGTAAAATACATTTCATTAATGATTAATAATTTATTTGGGTAACTAGAGATAAGTAAATAAATGATATTTTAGTATTTGAATTATAGAATGGAGTCTTTAAATAGAATTCAAATAAAACTATCACTTTAATTAAAAATGATCAATGTGATGATGATATATTATTTCCAATTATACATAATAGAGATAAAAATGTGATATTGATAAGACACAAAAATCATATATATTTGATTAGATAATTAAATGATGGCACATTTAAAATTCTTGAATCATTAAATTGTTAAACTAGAGAAACATATGGAACAATGACCAATAATGGATAATATTTAGTATTTTGGGATAAAAAATTTGAAAAATACTCATCATATGAGATATTATATAAATGAATCAAAAAAAATCTAGTATAATAAATGATTTTCTGATTTCTTTTTTTTCATTTGAGAAAACTAGGTTAAAATTTAATTTTTTTTTATTTTATAAAGTTATTTATAGCTTAGTTGATCTAATATATCCCATTATTTGGAGATTTATATCTTGTCACTTGTTTTTTATTATGACTATATTGTTTTATAATACAACTTTATATAAATCAAGTACTTATGACATAAGGAGGAAGAGGGAGATATCATATTATAGAAAATATTCTCTATTTTCAGAATTATGCTTAAGAAAGAACTCAATAATGATTTGAAGAATTAAAAACATTTTTTCTTTAATTTTAAAGAATATTTGTTTAAAAATATCAATTTTGAAAATAATTTTTCAAACTTTTTTTAGATTAGATTTATTATTAATGTATGCATTAATTTAGTAATATTTCATTGATGATAAGTAATCTTATTAAGTAAGACAATGAATCAATAAAATTAAAAACGATTAAAAATTATATCAAATTTACTGGTATTCTATTTAAAATTAAAACTCTGAGGAGAACAAGAGATCCATTTGAAAAAGGGCCTGCTTTTACTTCTGTAATAGTTGATAGTCAAATAGAAAATGCTACTTGATATAGAATAGCTCTGGAGTATAATAAATAATAGTGAATTTTTAGGGGTTGAATTTTCAAGTATAACTAAAATAAGATAGGATTTAAAGTATATAAAAATTCAACAGTTTCAAATTACAACATATAATTCCTCCTTTGAGTTTAGAATGATTTGTAAATGAATTTATTGGTAACTTATATCTTATATCCTATTGTAGATATCACTTTAAAGATTTAAGATTTATAATAAGAAAGAAAAGCTATATCTTTAGTTCTGAAGATTTAGATTGAATAAAATTCTAAATTTAAAGAAACAGTTGAAGGCTGGCCATGAGTAAATGTTATATAAAAAAAAATTAAGGATGTCATTACTATTTTGCAGTTGTATAAATATTAGAAAATCAAGAATATATTAAAGAAATATTTAGTATTATTTTTAGACTATCTAGTCTAATTATTAAGCTTGATTAAAAAATTAACGAACCATTATAGAATAAATGATTGCCAGACTCAACCCTTATTCTACTTTTATTGAAGAATTTTTCGGAAATACTGGTTTAGAATGATTATAATAAATAAAAAATTAAACAATTAAAGACATTATTTTATTTGTTTTATTATAAAAAGTTATTGTTTTCTAACATATTTTATTAAGAATGGTTTAAATTGATAAAAAGCTAAAAAGTTAATTTTGGTTTCAAAAAATCATGGAATTAAAATCAAATTTGGACAAAAAATAAATTATTTTTAGAATAAAAAACTCTATGTTCCATTAGGCTGGATGTTAAAGTAAAACTGGAGGGAAACCTGACAGTTTCCAAGCTGAGGGATTTAAAGGCCCTTCAAGCATGACAGGTATTTGAAAGAGGTTTTTTCAGGTTTAACCATGAGTATTTCTTTAGTTTAAATATATGTTCCTCAGCGCTTGAAAAAAGATCTGGAAGTTTCCATAGGTACAATTAGAGGGAGTGACTATGTCTATGATTAAGATATAAAAGAGAGTACCCTAAGTACCTAGTAACTGATAGATTACACTCATTAATTTTTATAACAGAAAAAATCTGTGTAGATTAAATTAAATTTGAAGAAAAATTTTAGAGACTTAATAATTTTAATAAAAGCTTCTTGATAAAATTTAATAAATCATTTCTATTTTAGAAAATGGGATTTATCAAGTATTAAGACTATTTTTATTCCTTATTGATTTTTTGTATCTATTAAATCAGGTATAATCCTGAATTGAGATAGAAAGGATAACGAGATTTTTTTAAGTATATAAGATTGAAATAATATTGTTAAATAAATAATAAAACTTATAATAATTTATAAGAAAACATTTCTAATAATATTAATAATTCTTTTTAAAGAAGCAGACATAAAATATATCATTATCAATCCCAATTCTGATTTTTTGTGGTAATCGACCTAATTGACTTATAGTGGATGTAAGAGTAGGGAACCAATTTATTCCTTGTGACATCAATAATTTAATAATTTTTAAACTCAGTCAAACTTCATCATTATGAGAAAATTAAATAAATATTTTAATTTATCATTATTTATAGGAATATAAGATAAAGTTCATCAATCTTATCTAATCATTCATTATATGAATTACTTTTATTATTATTAATTATAATAATTTAAATTGAGTTAATTTATTAATATCTAATTTAAATTCTATATAATTAAATTTATATATTTGAATAGATCAATAGATTATTCAGTATTACAACTAATAGAATAATGAATTCTTAGTTATTTAAATTTAATAAGAAATAACTTTCTCTATATTTAATTTTAGAAAATTATAATATTTTTTTATTATTGATGGTTTTCTAGGCTACGAATAATTCAACCGAGAGTGAAGCAGTAAGATATATATTCACCAGCATTAATTTAAGAAAATGTAATAATCTCAAGTAAAAAGAATGCAACCTGCTTATTTAATATAGTATATTCCGTTTAAGGTACAATGGTTTAGTAGAGGAAACTTTGATCTTTTCATTATTTATTTCAGATGAAACTAGCTCATGATTGGTGAATTTACCTTAATGGCAGATGAAAACGAATAAATAAAACTTTACTCTATTACAATATTAACTAAAAGAAAGATTGAAAGTAAAAAATTAGTAATATAATTTTATATCATCCATCATTTTCAATTTAATAACAAAAAATAAGCTAAGTAATAGATTAAAATTATAATTATTATTAGTACAAAAATAATAGTTGTTAATGAATTTTTTTCAATTATTGTTCCTTATTGAATTCATTTTTAATTGTATCAAATACGATTAAAGACTCACCTTTAACTATATTTAATTCTATAAATTTGTACTAATTTCTAATTAGTACCCTAAGTAAGCATCATTGGGGACGTCTAGAAAGGAGAATTTCTAGAAAAACTTTTTTTGTTCTTCCAATCAATAGAGCTGAGGTTCGAGGAAAAAGGAAGTTACATATCCAGATTCATGTAATTAGGTCGCCAACCAACTTTAAGATGGTTTCTAGACTTTCAAGCACTGGTTGACTAATAATTGATCAGGCCTTTCATTATAGGAAAAGGGGTAGATGTCTCCAAATAACTGTAAAAGTAAATTGAGCATACCCAATTTCTCAAAGCCCCTCTCAGCTCCAAGCCTCTTATGTAAGTTTCCATTTTGAAACCTTCCTTTCAGTTTACACCAGGCGTTACTTGTCCATATTATTTTAATTAAAAATAAATTTACTTTTATCTCTAATTAGAAGTTGATAATATCTATGTTGATATATGACTGATATTGAAGTGTGTATGAAGAAAAAAAACCCTCCCGAGTCCACTGTTCATAAATTAACTCTAGTAAATAAAATTCTTCTGAAGAAAGTATTATTTAATATTTCTATTCATTTCTTAGTGATTCAAACTTTCTTTCTATATATGAAGTTATAAATATAAGATAAGTCTAAGAATAGAGTAACTTTACTTTGTTTCTCCCTTTCACTTTCGATTTAATTTCTTTTATGAATAAAACAAGATGTTATGCACATCCCAAGTGAGATACAGAGCCAATCTAAGATGATTGAGTTTGCTTGACTACAGTTCCTTAAAAATTTTTTCATAAAATGCTTCTATCGATTTAAAAAAAATATTTTCCAATTGGAAATCTGATGATGATCTTCTTTAGTGGAACCACCCTCATACTGAACATAATTCCATTTTATTTAACTCTTAAACAATCATTTTTACAGGATCATTTTCATTAAGATAAGATATTAGCCTCTTCAGCTTGACTAAAGCAAAGAATACAGTCTTCTTATTATTGGTTAGCATCTTAGCTGTGTTATCTGGTAAGTAAATTCTAAAATCTTATGGTAATTCCTTACAATAAATACAATAAATTCTTCTTAGATTTTCAATAGCGATGTAATCTTCTTATAGAATCAGGTGAATTCATGTTGTTATAATTTAGCAGTTATGTTTTTATTCAGTTGAAGTTTAGGGTTATTACCTTTATTCAAATACAAATATATTATTATTAGGTTTTTCTTCAGCGAATCTATCTATTATTTTAACATTTTTGTGTTTATTACTGGTCTTTAGAATAAGTTTTCCTTATTAAACTTTATATTTATCTAAAAATTTTCCTAATAGGTTTCAATTTAGAATATTCGCCCTGCTATTAGGAATAGATTCATCTATTGGAGGAGATCTTTATTTAAGTTTGTCACCAATGATGTCAACTCTCATAAAATTTTTCTTAGTGAATATAAATTTTCAACATAACCACGAGTATTGATTTAATTAATCATTTTATCAAAGTTAAATAGGTAGGTTGAAGTATGTTTATTGAAATGATAGAAATCTTAGCAAATTTTTTTTATCTTAAAATAACTAATTATAATCAAAGCTATCAAATTAAAGGATAAATAACAAAGAAGTATCTTTTTAGCCAAAATTATTCTACACACAATTATTATGATTAACAAGTTAGTTGTATAATAAATTTTCAATTAATGTGTTTGATTTTCTTATTAAACTCGCTTTATTCTTTTGGGCTACTTAGATTTTTCAACCTAATTATCTCAATTATACTTAATTGAAGATTTTCAAATCTCTATAGATTTATTGTAATTACGGAATAATATATTATTGGAATTCAGAATTAAAAAAGATTGTAATTGAAAAGATAAAAATTGATCACCTTTTAAATTTAGTTTTTATTATAAATTTCATCAATTTATATTTAGTTTTTATTTAAATTATAGAATAATGTATTTTTTGAGTTTCACTTGAGGTAATTAAGAAATAATACTTGAGTTATTACTAAAAATGATTTTAATATTAATTTAAAAATTTTTATTTATATATGAGAAATAAATCAAATGAAATCTATATTTTAAATAATCAAAAGAATAAAA